CAGGAGGACTGGCAGCAGGAGGAGGTGCAGCATGGGGGTTCGCAGTAGCTCTCCGGACAGTTGTCCACCTCCCAGGAGGGACCAGTACAAGCACTGGGCATGCAGACCCGGCTGCCATAGCTCCTGTCGCTGGAGCAGATGGACCTGGTGGACACAGCTGGAACACAGGTCCCGGAGCAGCAGGTATCAGCCATGGTGGGTGGGAGGGTAGGAGAGGTGGTGGCACAAGGACTGAATGAGTGAGTGAGTGAGTGAGTGAGTGAGTGAGTGAGTGAGTGAGTGAGTAGCTCTGGGCTGCCAGGGTTTTTATATCCCTCTCAGGCTGATATTGTTCCAACAGAGACTCAACACATCTCCCTTCCTTGTTGTTGTTGGTTGTTTAGAGAACTCTCATTAATGTCAGTCTAATGTTTGGTTTCCATGACATGTGAAGCCTTGTAAAACGGAGGGTATTTGGGGGTTTTATTGACCCAACTGGACCAGGAGACAACATCATAATAAATGAGGTAATGGTTGAAGTTGTTGAGGATTTAATCTTACTTGGATCCACAATCACGGTTGGTGGACGCATCGCCTGGACAAACCTGTACACAAGACCGCTTTCAGATATTGAAGAAGCAGAGCTGCCACTAGGAGGACTAAGGCGCCCCTGACCCCAGCCTTGGTGTTTCCCTCACTGGACAGTGAACGAAGAAGTCAAGGTGCCCTTGACTGATGGTGTTGGGGAGGAATATTGAACTTCCCACGGACTGACACAGGAGTCAACATAGCTGTCTGGGAAGACTACAACCAGAGGGATTAGACGTGAAGATGGTGAAACTTTGTCTCATGTCCTTTGGCCATGAGGGGCCAATTGCTGGAAACATCATGCCTGGTAGACTAGAGGGTCCGTGGGCCAAGAGTAAGACTTTCAAGGAGAGAGATTTGACACAGTGCTCGCCACAAAGGGCTCAAATGTAACCGTGTTTGGGAGGACATTGCAGGGCCAGGCAGTGTTTTGCTCTGTTATGCGTAATAGGATCAATGGGCTGGAACCGACTTGATGCCTTTTAACAACAGCCTGGCTCTGGCTCCAAATCATAGTCGGGAAGAAAAGCTATGTGTTCTAGAACAGTGGTTCGCAACCTTCCTCATGCCCCGACCCTTTCTTACAGTTCCTCATGTTGCGGTGACCCCCAATCATAACATTATTTTCGTTGCTACTTCAGAACGGTAATTCGGCTACTGTTATGAATCAGGCGACCCCTGTGAAAGGGTCGCTCGACTCCCAAAGGGGGTGTGACCCACAGGTTGAGAACTGCTGCTAGAGAGGGTGTCTGGGTGGGTGCTGGGTTGGCTACTCAAAAACCCATCCAATCTCATGCTACCATCCTTGGGTGGAGACCTGAGATGGCCCCATGTGTACAATTGCCCTGGGTTCTGGGCGTGCCTGGGCGGGCCATCTGGAGAAACCCGAGGGCTGACACTGCTAGAAGTGACGCGTTGGAACTCTCTCTGGTGCAGGGAGGTCCCCTGAGGGTTTTGGAACAAGTGGCAAACACACCATGAGGGACAACCCTGGCAAGCAGAGGTCCCTGGCTATGCAGTCACACCCACCCTTGGTAACACCGTTTCACCAGAGCGGTCAAGTGCATTAGTACAAAGTTATCCATGACTTTGTCTTCTCATTGGACTCTTAATATCTGTAAACTCGGATGATGCAAATCTCCCTCATTCTTGATATTTCTCATTCGTCTTTTCTTTCTCTCCGGCTCGCTTTTGCTGGTCAGTCTTACTATTTTCTTGATTTGCACTATTGTTTTCTGCTTAATTGATTTGGACTCTAGTGTTTAGCACTTCCTTTCTGCTTTGGGTTTAACCTGCTCTCCCCTCTTTGCTCCCTTGTTTCTTCAGGTGGACGCGCTGGCCATGAGTTTGATGAGACCCCCAAGACGATGGCCCTTGCTTTTTCGTCAGACTGAATCCACCTTCATCTTAAAATAATTAATCACTTAAGATCAGAAGGGTGGCATTTACCTAAGCACAAAGTACAGAGGGTTAGGAAACAACGAGGAATGGAAATAGGAGATACAGGTAGGAGGTGGGATAAGAGATAGTACGTTGAAGAGATTGCAGTAGATGAGTTTAATCAAAATGATCATCAGTTACTGAATGTAAAATTATGATCTGCTGTGTAAACCTAAACCCCATTCACAATGAAAAGTGTCTTTTTTTCAAAAAGGAAACTTAATTTTGTTCTAATGTAGCTGTTTAATGCTATGAATTCCTCTGTGATACTGTTCTGTTTTAGCAGTATCCCACAAATTTAATCTGCTGTGTTCTCATTTTTGTATTGTTCAAAGTATTTCTAATTTCCCCTGACTTTCTTCTTTGAGTCATGGAGTTTTCAGAAGTATGCTATTTAGTTTCCAAATATTTGAAGATTCTCCAGAGCTATCTCTGCTGTTGGCTTCTAATTTAATCCCATTAGATACAGTTGGTGAATTAAATCCCTTTAATGAATTGAAATTTGTTTTACAGTCCCACATCTAGTAAGTGTTTAGACTGCTTGGGTGAGTTGTCAGGTGGTTCATGCTGCTGTGGGGACCATCCAGTCAAACTCTGACTCCCTGTGCCCCTGTGCACGGCAGAACAAAAGCCCGCCCAGTCCTGCGCCCTCCTCACAATGGTCCTTATATTTGACCCCATCAGTGCAGCCACTGTGTCCATCCATCTTTTACAATGTCTTCCTCTTGTTTGCTATCCTGCTACTTTAGCAAGCATGATGTCCTTCTCCAGGGACTGGTCTCTCTGGTCAAATAGTCTTTATCTTCCTGATTTCACGCCTCCTGGTTACAGATGTTGTTGAGAACAGAATATTGAAATCTCTTATTGTCACGATGGACTTGTCTATTCATAGATGCTTAAACATCGAGGATTGCTTTGCCCTCTTGGTCAATTGACCCTTCTAACACAGGGACTAGCCCTTCTTATTCATGGCACTGGTCTTCACGCTCAACTGTACTTGGTCTGACATTTATATAGTTGCTGACCCTTTCTTTTGTTAGTGTTAGCACAACGCACTTTTCTCTAATTTTTCATTTTCAACCTATTTTTGTCTTTATATTCAAAATTATATTCATATACTCCTTACAATGACTATCTTGTTATCTGGTATTTTGTATTTACAACAATAGTAAAAGCCTTACTATCTGACTATTGTGCGCATGAATAGTACCCCTTCAGCAGTGAGGAACGCTGAGGGGCGAGGTGAGATTGAGGCATGATGGCCAATTTGGCTGGATTATGATTCTTAGTGGTGTGGCAGTTATGTAATGATGAAATGTGCCTGTTATGTAGCGATGTAAGTTGGTAGTAGTGTAGTGATGTAGTCATCTTCCATGTTGTGATCTGATGTGGTTATCTTCCATTTTCTTGTAACACCAATTTTTGTATAACGAACTGAACTTTATTACCTAATGTGTGGATGTGTGGGCTGTTTATATAGACAGCATACAATTGGGTCTTGGATTTTTTTGTGGGAGGGTTTCTTGTTAATTTAACTTCTTTGATGATCTGTCTTTTAATTGAGCTATTTAGATAAATTACATTTAAAGGGACTATTCATTTGCATTAGGTTTTAGACCTAATAAAATTTACCATTTCATTATCTGTTTTCTATTTCTTTTGTGTGTCTAACCCCTGCTTTTCCTTTTTACTGTCTTTTGAATCACATTGCAGGGATGGAGCCGTGGTAGTACAGTGGTTACGAGTTGGTCTGCGATCCACACGGTCAGCAGATCAAAACCACCAGCAGCTCCTTGGGAGACAGACTGGGCTTTCTACTCCCACCAACAGTCTCGGAGACCCACAGGGGGTCACTGTGCATCAGCATTGACTCCAGGGCAGTGAATCAATCAAGTCTTTTCAATTAAGTTCCGATTTTAATTATTTCATGGTTTTTCTTTTGTTCGCTTACTAGCTATAACGCTGCGATTTGTATGTTAGGCTTTGTAGTACATTGATTTTAACTCATGGTGATCGACCTTCCACATTATATTGCTCCTTGTGTAGCCTAGGAGCCTGGCAGCAGTATATTTCCATTTCTCCCCTCCAAACTTGTGAGGGGTCGGTGCTGGGCCATTTTCTTTTGCTTATGTTTTAAAAGCCACAATACAGTGTTCTCAGTTTCACTTAAACACCCTGTCTCTTCGAGGGGTTTAGATAGCAGGAAGCTGGTGCTCTGGGTCTTCCCGTAGGTCCATCCGGGTTTTCAGTTGGTGTCACTTTCTTTCTGCCTGGAGGGTTTCATTGACCAGTTCTTTGCAGTTCCCGTCTGCTGGTGCACTCCTTCAGCTTGTGTACGTCTGCAAATCTGGCTTCACTCGCCTCTCAGAGACACTGCTGCTGGTTGTGGAGAGGGGCATTTTAACTCACCTCTGTCGAGTGGTTGACCCGCAGAGCCAGGCTCCTGAAGGAGGTCTGTCCCCACGGGACCGGTTGGCAGGTCTACCCACGGGCTGAATGGCTGCCTAGGTTTCTCTGAGGTCAGGGTTTGTGTCGCCGGTCCCATCCTGGCTGGTGCTGTTCCCTTCAAGACGGATCATGATCCCGGGGTCTGGAGCGTGTCGCTGGGAGGCCAGGCACTGCCACGTGCCCCATGGGCCAGAGGACAGTGGAGGTCATAAGCCTGCTCACACGGGCTCTGCTGGCGAGACTCGGCACAGCCTAGCTGAGGCGGGGGTGGGGGGGTGGGGGGGCTCTGCTGATGGAGTGTGCGTTGTCTCACGATTGACTGCGTTTTCATCTCCTCTGCATCTTGGCAATTAGAAGCTTCTGAGGACAATATGTGTCCTAGAGCCCTGTTGGATTACCCAGTAAGCAGGGTAAACACAGGCTTACTTGTGCTTACTGACTAATCTGACCTGATGGAACCCAGGTGAAGTTGTTTACTACAGAGTAGTCGATAAGCGTGCTTACCTTGCTTGTTGGGTGATTGGCCCCTGCTCTGTGGTAGCCATAGACAGGGATTCCTGCTTAGGACTTTGGGTCCTCGTCCATCCACTGGCTTTCTTACATTTTGGGGGCACTGCTTTTCCCTGCGCCTGATTTTCTGACTTACCGCAGCACTGTCTTGGAAGAGAATACCATATCTCATCCGGTCTAAGATGAACCAGCTCTCATGTTTCACAAGCAGGGCACTGTGATGCATGTTCTCTGTCACAGTGGCCCATGTCACACGGCCCACAGACCTCGGTGGCATCCACACCGAGCATTCGTGGCTTCCACCTTTGGGGTGCCTGAGAGGCTGCTCTGCTGAGTGTGGCTGGGTCGGCGCATGCGTCTGGGCTTAACAAGCTGTCAGCAGACCTAGGATGGCCTCAGCTGGGGGACCTGGGGGACTTGGCCCTGTGCCCAGCACCGCTCATCTTCCAGTAGGCGAGGTCAGGCACGCTCTCGGGGCGATGACAGGGACACAGAGTGGAGCAAGCCTAATGACACAGTGCTTTTACGCTTCTGTTTGTATGATTCTATTTGCTCTGGACCCACTGGCCAATGGAAACTTCTTGACCAAACTGATTCAAGGAGTTGGAAAATGTGCGCTCCACCTCCCGTGGGGGTGGGGGTGGGGGTGGGGGTGGGAGGAAGCAGTGAAGCCACAGGAGGAGTGAAGAGTTGACCCATTGAGGCAGCCCGTTCCAGGTTACAACCCACCCGTGATGTCATCACATAGCTGCTTGCTGGTCATTGCCTCCCTGTTGCTTTCCCTTGGCCGTGACCTGGTGCAGCGCAGACAAAGCATTTCTGGGTCTTCCACCATCTTCCTGGGGTTCCAATGTTTCAGTCCATGGCTGTCACCAGACACAGTGTATGAGGAGGCTTCGAAAAGTTCATGGAAAAATCCCACTGCCTTTTGATCCCACTTTCCCACAAGCTTCGTGAAGCTCTTCTACACACCCCACACCACCCCCAAGACACTGCGTCGATCCCCCTCATTGATGTTGATGAAACGCATAGGCATTGCTTGGGGAATGATGACCCCATTTGTCTGAAACTTCAAAAGCTCATTGCTTTACAGAATGCAGGACAAGGTGACACCCACAAGTAGCAAGGAGAGAAAGGTAGGATGGCTTCTGGCTTCAACAGAGACGCCGCCTGCGAATGAAGAGATGCCAAAGGGCTCAGAAGGAAGTCATTCTAAGGCAACAGAGGGTGCTGCCGCTCTTATCCTGCAAGAGCACCGACTGAGGCTGGTCCGTGTGTGTGTGTGTGTGTGTGTGTGTGTGTGTGTGTGTGTGCATTCCTCGACATCTTCCTTTTTAATGGTACAAAAGATGAGGGTGCACATGTTCGTGTGGGTCCTTCAAGAAGCAGATGGCAAGACCAGGTCAGATACTCTGCAAGTGATGCTAGGGGGGGTCCCCCATGAAGGGTAAAGGGCGAGGGGGCAGGAGAAAGTGTGCAGGGCCACAAACAGCCACGCAGCCCTGACGGCTGCAAGAGGGGAGGGCGAGGGAGGAGGGTGAGGTGGGGGAGAACCTAGGCCACGGGGCTGCTCTGGAAAGGTCCCACCAGGTTCACAGGGTATCCAGGGGCCACAGAGGCATGTGAGGAGACCCGTTTCTGACAGGAAGGCCTTGCTCTGGGACCCCTGCTGTGCTCAGCCAGTGGCTGGGAGCGTCTGGGGCCGGGTTGCCTGGTGCGGATGCCAAGGCGAATCTGGTAGCTGGGACTGGTGTCAGTTGTGCTTTAGGAGCAGGGCTTTGGGAGGGAGATGGAGCAGTAGCGACCAGGCACCTGAGCACTCCTGTGATCAGCCAGCACAGCACTCTATTCACCATCTCCCTGCCCCCCTTCCCCCCAGGAGGCAGGGCCATGGGTGCCGTTGGAGAGAGCGTTGTCTACCTTATTATTGGGTCATAGGGTGTTTGGACCCTGCCCAGCCAGCTGCTGGAGGAGCCATCTTGGCACTTGTGTGTGTGTGTGGGGGGGGGGAGAAGGGCAAGGGGAACACATGGTCAGCTGAGACTTTAGCCAGGAGCGCAGATGGCTGCCCTAGTTCACTCCAGGTCCCGGACTCCTATGTGCTCCTGACTCTTTTCTCATGGAAGATCTCAGGATGGTGGACCTGATATTTAGGCAGCTCCCACCCCCCACTCTCTCAGAGAAGGTCAGGAGACACGTGGGTACAATAAAGGAGAGTTTATTAGGCCAGAAAGGCAGATGCTCGCCTGGGTTGGGTCAAATGCAGGGGTGGAAGCAGGCTGGACAGATCCTGCAGGCAGCATGGTGTCCTAGACCTGTGCTCGGGCTCTGGGGTGGCTGCGGGAGCAACAACCAGGTCTACCCTGGGGAACCAGGGAGCCATTGGGTTTCTTGGTGCCCCAGAGCTGTGAGCTTTGGGGATTGAGACTCTCCAGGAGGCTAACTGCTGCTAGCTGTGTTCTTGGCTCCTGTGCTCAGGGACTCCAGAGCACATCCACTTAGCAGGAGGACTTCTCTCCAGACAAGGCACTACAGCAGGCTGGGCAGCAGCACAGGCAGGCAGGGCCACACAGGAGGCTGGGGGTCAGCAGCTGGGCTGGCAGCAGGAGCTGGGGCCATAATATCAGCAGATTGACATGCAACACGGGGGGCTTGTACACCAGGCAGGAGATGAGGGACATACAGGAGGAGGCTGCAAGAGGGGGTACGGGCAGGAGGACAGGAAGGGGTGCCAATTCAGCAGCAGCCCTTCTGGCCGCATGAGGAGTCACAGCAGGCTGGACGGGAGCATGCAGGACGGCAGACGATGGTCACACAGGAGGTTGGATGGCAGCAGCTAGGCTGACAGCAAGAGGTGGAGCCACAGCAGGAGTATGAAGAGGCACAGCAGGCAGGCTTGCACATGGGTTGGCAGATGAGGGACATGCAGGAGGAGGGTTTGCAGCACAAGGGGGCACAAGAAGGCTGGCAGCAAGAGGAAGATGGGCAGGGGGAAGCCCCACAGCATATGGGTGTACAACAGACCGACTTGCAGCAAACAGGTGTACAACAGACAGGCTTGCAGCAGACAGGTGTACAACAGACAGGTGTACAGCACATGGGCTTGCAGCAGACAGGCACACAGCAGGGGGAGGATGAGCAGCACACAGGCTGGCAGCAGGAGGGCCCACAGGAGGCAGTGCAGCCTGATTGGCAGGCACTGGACCCACAGCTCACGGGGCTGCACATGAGGGTCAGGCAGGAGGTTGGAGCACAGCAGGTGGACTGACAGGTGGGGACACAGCTGGAGGACTGGCAGCAGCTGGGGACACAGCAGGAGGACTGGCAGCAGGAGGGCTCACAGCAGCTCTCAGGACAGTTGTCCACCTCGCAGTAGGACTCAGTGCAAGCACTGGGCATGCAGACCCGGCTGCCATAGCTTCTGTTGCTGGAGCAGATGGACATGGTGGACGCAGCTGGAGCAGCAGGTGCTGGAGCAGCAGGGTCAGGGAGAGGATGAGGGAGTGAGGTGTGTGGAGTGAGGAGCTCTGGCCTGTGGGGTTTTATATGGCTCTCTGGCTTGTGTTGATCCTCAGGAGGCTGAGCAAGCCTTCCCTTTCCTTGTTGTTGTTTAGCGTCCGGAGTTGGAGAACCTCGTTCATGCGGTTTCTTTTCTACAATTAGGTGTTCACTCAGGAAACTGGTGAGGCTGTCTCAGAACTTTGTTCTCCCTGTCTGTTTTCTGTTTGGCCCCAGAAAAGTTGTGAGAAACTATTTGTTCCACGCGAGCTTTGGCTGTGTTTTTGAGGGGAACATGTTTCTAAATGATGTATTCTAGTTCTATCTGTCCTGCCTGGAGTGCTTACATTGTGTACTTCCAATTTCTTTTAAACAAATAAAAAGAACATGTGCTCATAGAATGGAAAGCCAATTGTCTCTCCCCTTCAGATCACTTCTGCTTCTTTCAGGAGCATGTGCGGAGACTCCAAACCCAGGGTGTTATCCCTTGTTTCGCTTGTGTTTCTTCAGGGTTTGTAGCACACACTCAGGTGCCTCCTTTCTTATGTCTCAAGCCAGGCTCTGGATTCCCCCCTTTCTTTTTGCCACATTAAAAGATCAAGTCTTGAGGGAGGGGAAAAATGAGGACCTATTGTCGGGGGTTTAAGTGGAGAGAAAATGCTTTGAGAAATGATGTACAAATGCGCTTTACACAATTGATGTGTGTATGGATTGGGATAACAGTTGTATGAGCCCCTAATAAAATGTTATAAAAACAAAACAAAAAAAACAAAAAATAAAATAAAAGATCAAGTCTTTTATCATCCATGGTGGCAAGCTTTCATTTCAACATTCCATATACATCTGAAAATGTGTCATGAATATGGCATAATAATTTGGATGAGTATAGAATTAGTGTTTTTTAAAATTAAAATTGTATTAAAGATTATTTTATTGGGGGCTCTTACAACTCTTATAACAATCCATAGATAAATTGTGTTGAGCATCATGTGCTTCTTCTAACACCAGATTTGACCATGCCGTGGCTCTGCTTAAAATACATATTTTTTCTTTTTAAATCATTTTATTGGGGTCTCGTACAATTCTTATCACAATCCATACATCCATCCAATTTGTCAAGCACATTTGTACATTTGTTGCCCTCATCATTCTCAAAACATTTTCTTTCTACTTGGACCCTTAGTATCAGCTTCTCATTCCACCCCCCTCTTTCTCCCCTACCCACCCTCCCTCATGAACCCTTGATAATTTATTAAAAAATTTTTTCATGTCTTACACTGACCGATGTCTCCCTTCACCCACTGTTCTAGTGTCCATCCCCCTGACAAGAGGTTATGTGTAGATCATTGATATTGGTTCTCATTTCTCCCCCCACCTTACCCTTACCCTTCTGGTATCACTACTGTCATTATTGGTCCTGAGCAGGGTTTATCTGTCCTGGATTCCCTGTGTTTCCTGCTCTTATCTGTCCCCATGTACATGCTCTGGTCTAGCCAGATTTATAAAGTAGAATTGGGGTCATGATGGTGGGGGGGGGGAGGAAGCATTAAAGAACTAGAGAGAAGTTGTATGTTTCATCGGTGCTATACTGCACCCTGATCATATCATTGTGAATGAGGGGGAGTGGGGAGTGGAAACCCAAAGCCCATCTGTAGGCAACGGCACCTCCTCTTACAGAAGGGTCGGGGGGAGGAGACGAGCCAGAATTCTTGTTGTAAATCGCTGTTTTCTCATAGCTAGGCAAACATTCTTCCATTCCACCTATGCAATGTCCTGTGTTGTTGAAGAAAGACTGATGCTCATCATTTATCATTTCCTCAAAGTTTTTCTTTATTTCTTTCTAGAATATTTTGGTTTCACCTATTCTTTCTAGGAGGCATGCACCGTATTTTCCTCTCTATGGCTGAAATACCACAAGCCTTTCCATGTGAAAGCTTCTCTCAGGACAATTCTTTGGGCTAAAAGAGTTTAGTCTTTGCTGATCTTTCCTTCTGTGGCTCCTCTCACCTCTTGTGGAATGACCCGGCATGTCTCTCTCATTTTTCTCTCACCTCATTGCCTGATTTTATCTCTCAGACCACAGTTCAGCCTGTAGCCAATCACTGTTCTATTATTGGCCTGGCTTTGTTGTTAGGTGCTATTGAGTTGATTACTGCTCATGGAGATCCAGCAGATCAGAACACGGTCTGGTCCTGTCCCATCCTTACAATCAGTGCCGTGCTTGATCCCATTGTTGCAACCTCTGAGTCAGTTCACTTCATTGAGGCTCTGCCTGCTTTCTGATGCCCTTCTGCTTTACCAAGTCCCATGTCCTATTTCAGGGACTGATCTCTTCTGATAATAAGTCCCAAGAACTTGACACGAAGTCTCTCCATCCTTTCTTCTAAAGAGCATTCTAGCTGTAATTCTTCCAAGACATATTTGTTTTTTTCCTTCTGGCAATCCATGGTACTTTCTTTGTTTTTTTTGTTTTTTGTCAAATAGTTTCTGCCTTTAATTTCCTAAAACCTCCCTTGCCATGAAGTAGGTTTCTCTTTGGCTGGCGAACCACGAAGCCAGTGGTTCAAATCCATCAGCTCGGTCTCAGGAGAATGAAGAAACATCTGCTCCGCTGAAGAGTCCCCTGTTGAAAACCCCACGAGGCAGTGCCAGGCTGGCCTATAGGGTCCCTAGGGGTTGGAATGAACCCATTGGCAGTGGCGTTTTATTGTTGCTTTTAATTTTTTTTAAACATTTTATTAGGGGCTCATACAACTGTTATCCCAATCCATACACACATCAATTGTGTAAAGCGCATTTGTACATCGTTTCTCAAAACATTTTCTCTCCACTTAAACCCCCGACATTAGGTCCTCATTTTCCCCCTCCCTCCCCGCTCCCCCCTCCCTCATGAGCCCTTGATAGTTTATAAATGGGTATTTTGTCATATCTTGCCCTGTCCAACTTGCCCTTCACCCACTTTTCGGTTGTCTGTCCCCCAATTCTTCATGAGCACCATAATCCAAAGGCATCCACTCTTCCTTGGCCTTTCTTATTCACTATTTGGCTTGCACATACATAATTGAAAATACCATGGCTTTGGTCAGGTGCATCTCAGTACTCCCAAGTGGCATCTTTGCTCATTAATACTTTAATGAGGTCTTGTGCAGCTGACTTTGTGCAGCCCAAATATAAAAGCTTTCATTTTTTTGGTCTACTGTTTCTATGAGCATTGTTTGTGTATTCAAGTAAAATGAAAATCTTGGCAATTTTAGGATTTTCTCCATTTCAAACACGATTGTCCATTAGTCCAGTTGTGAGGATGTTTGTTTTCCTTATAGAACCCTTTTGGTTTAGTGGGTTACACGTTGGGCTGCCAACCACAAGGTTAGCAGTTTGAACTCACCAACCACTCTGAGGGAGAAAGTTGAGGCTTTCTGCTGCCTTAAAGATTGAAAGCCTTGACAACCCAAAGGGGTAGTTCTACTCTGTCCTATCGGGTTGCTATGAGTGTGAATGGAGTCAATGGCAGTCATTGGAGCATAGTTTTTATTGTGGGTTGTAACCCACACTGAAGGCTGTAGTCTTTGAGTACATCACTAGCTGCTTCACATCTTCTTTGCTTCCAGCAACCAAGGTCGTGTTGTCTGCCTGTTGAAGGTTGTTGATGACCATTCCTCCAATACTGATGACCCCTGTCCCCCTATGGTCCAATGTCTTGGATTATTTGCTCAACATATAGTTTGAATAGATATGGCGAAAACATACAACCCCGATGTACACCTTTCGGGATTTTAAACCATACACTACCCCCTTGTTCTGTTCAAAGGACAAAGGACAGCTCTTGGTCAATGTAAAGGCTCCACAGGAGTAAAATGAAGTGTTCTGGAATTCTCGCTATGTGCAGTGTCGTCCATAGTTTTTATGGTCCACACAGTTGAATGCCTTTCTATAGTTAATGAAACAGAAGCAAACATCTTTATGATATCTGTTTTCAGTCAAACTCCATCTGATGTTAGCAATGATATCCCTCATGCCACGTTCTCTTCTGAATCTAGTTGGGGTTTCTGGTAGGTCCTGTTGATGTACTGTTTTTGAATTACTTCTGTGTGATATTAATGATGAAAAATCCCAAATGTCAGTGCTGTTGAGTCGATGCTGACTCATGGTGACTGTCTAGGGCAGGGTGGAACTGCCCTCTCGTTTCTGGGACCGTAACTTTACTGGAGTAGAAAGTCAGTCTTTCTCCTGAAGAGCCTCTGGGGGTTTCGAACTGCTGACCTTGTGGTTAGTAGTATAACCACCACACCATCGGTATTCATCGATATTGTTGAATCATTTCTGCACTCTGTTGGGCTACCTTTCTTTGGAGTGGGAATAAATATGGATCTCTTCTGGTGGTTGGTTAGGTAACTGTCTTCTGAATGTCTTGACATAGATGAGCAAGTGCTTCCGGAGCTTCATCAGCTTGTTAAATCATTTCAATTGGTATTCTGTCTATCCCAGCAGCCTTGTTTTTCACTAATGCCTTCAGTAAAGCTTGCACTTCTTCCTGTAATAGCTCTGGTTCTTGATTAGGTGCTATCTCCTGATATGGTTAAATGTTGACTAATTATGTTTGGTATAATGGCTTTGTGACTTCCTTCCATATTCTTTTGATGCTTCATGCATCATTCACTATTTTACACAGAGAGTTCTTAATATTGCAATTCTAGGCTTGAATTATTCAGTTCTTTTAGATTGAGACATGCTGGGCATATGCTTCACTCTTGGCGTTCTAACTTCAGGTCTTTGTGTATTTTATTATTTACTTGTTCATTTCCAGCTGCCTTTTGAAATCACAGGGGGCAGTTCTACGCTATCCTCTGAGAGTCACCATGAGTCAGAGTTTATTCAATGGCAGTGTTTTGACTCAGGTTTTACTTCATCACTTCATCCATGTGCTTTAGTGACTCTGCTCCAAGAAT